AAGAAAGAAAGAAAGAAAGAAAGAAAGAAAGAAAGAAAGAAAGAAAGAAAGAAAGAAAGAAAGAAAGAAAGAAAGAAGGAAAGAAGGAAAGAAAGCCAAAACAACTGAAGTCATTAAAACACCTAGAGAAAACACAGCAGTCAGCAGGACATCAGCAGGTGTCAGAGAGGCAAATTCTGACACTGCCTACCCAGAGGAGAAACTGTCCTCTCCAGCGGGTCTAGGGAATCAGGGAGTCAAGCAGTTGTTCACATTCCTGATGTGACTGTCAGAGGCTGTAGCCAGTCTGGGCAACCTCTTCCTAGAATGAGTATCTTCTACAGCCAACATTCTGCTGATTAAGATTTCTTTTGGAATGTTGAATGTTGCATGTATTAACACTGACCATATTTGCTTAGTTTTACTGTTACCTTTCTCATATTTTAGTAAATAAGCACCTGGTTTTAAATGTGTTTGGTAAGGCTGTCAACGTGAGTGCCAGACCTTGAAATACAGTGAAGATCAGCAACACTGTAGGTCAGCCTTACATTTCATGTGGAATCACTGAGAATATGCCATTCCCTGGGCTTTTGGGCATGCACACTAGCTAATTTCTCCTAGAAATGTGGTGTCCTATCCTTCAGAACCTCTTCCTTAAAGCAATGTTAGGTAGGAATCTCAGCATTGCTGCTTACTGGGCGTGGAGCTGTGTGCAAGCCACTTTCTTATTTAAAGTGGAGACAAATATGACCTAAGAAGACCATCGTAAGGAGTAAATGAAGTAACAGTGTGTCTAAAGTGCCTCATCTAGATAGAGCACTCAATAAATAATAGCTGTGGGCTATTGTTAAAACCAAGCTCCTTGCTGGCATTATTGCTTAATGCAGGGCAGGGCAAAATACAGTTCCTAACAGCATGTGCTGCAGCTGGACACAGAACTACTAATCACCACTTTTAATCTTTCTACTAGTTACACATTCATTTCTATACCACTTTCTTGACCATATTTCAAAAATTTCTCCCATGATATAAGCCTGTAGGTCAAAATCCCTGGTAAACTCTAGGTACATTAGAACCATATAATTTATGGCTTACTACTTAAACAATCTTTTTCGCATGATTTGTTTTTATTGAACTCTGTCTCCAGTGACTACTATATTTTATTTTATTTTGGTAAAGAAGAACTGTCAGCTATTCTTTTCTTCCCCATTTATGTATACAAGAACTGTGGCATAGAACAGAGGTACAGGAGATGAATAGATTCACCAGAGACAGAGTGAGAAGCCAAATAGGTGATCTACTGAAAATACACTGCTGACAGGAACACTGTGTGAGACAGGAGAGGTTTGCTGTGCCATATGGGTCACCTCCCTGGCCGGGGAGCAAACTCAAACTATCATGGTGATAGCACTGAGACTTAACTACTGTGCCACCAGGGAGACACTGTTATCTTTTCTTAATGATTCAGAGTATCTTTTCTACCAAATACTGGGTCTATTGTTGAGTTCATCGGGTTTCTCATAATCTCTTTCTCCTAAAAAAAATCAAAATGGGGTCTCCCTGATGATCTAGAGGTTAAGTTTCAATGCTATCACCATGATAGTCTGAGTTTGCTCTCTGGCCAGGGTGCTAACCCACGTGGCACAGCAGACCTCTGTTGTCTAATCCACTGCTCTCCTTACCAGTATATTTCAGTCAATCTGCCTGTCTGCTCTCCACTCGGTCTCTGGTGACTCCTCTAATCCTCTATACCTTTGTTTATGCCTCAGTGAAATTCTATGTGTAATAATGTGGCTTGGCTCACTGAACTTCCATTTGACAGTTTTGTATGATACCTTCCTGTACTGAAAAAATTTGATAGTTAAATGTACAATTCCTGGATGCATTTGCTGCTCACACTATGGATTCTAATCAGGTTACCATGCAGATGTATCTATGAGAGGCCTGTGAGGCAAAATGAGGGTAAACAGTTTCCAACATTTCTTACTTATCAGGGAAGATCTAATGGATACATAAGATTTTCTTCTGAAATCTGATCTGTGTCATTCTCTAATTCTTGGGTGAGCAAATGGTTTGAATCAGAGGCAGCAAGGGACTCCAGGTACCACTGTCCCATTACCAGGATGACAGAGGAACAATGATGGCAGTAATGGGTTCATATTCTAGCTTTGTGATACCTGAGTCTCAGTTCCATCCACTATGTCCAGGGAATGTTCTGAGTACTTTCAGAGGTGGGAGCTTTCCTAGAGCTTCAGATCTCTAGTGTCTGGACATCATTCTGAGAATCACAAACTACAGTCCACTTCTCCAGGACATCAGTGATTTGGCATTCACCCAATTTACTGT